CCACCGCATCGGAGAAGGTGTTTTAATTCACGGTTACCGGAGTCACGCAAAGGGCAGGCTCGGGTTAAAACCGATGCGAAATACTCCGGACTCACGATTGTTTTGGTTTTGGTTGTGTTGTTGGGTTGTTGTTTTTTTTTCCCCCGAGGAACAACAGAAAAGGCTGCAAACAAGTTTTATCCAAGGTCCCCACCGGTTTCTTTTCAGTTTGCGTGCTCTGTCGTTTCGGATCTTTTTTCCACGTCGCCGTTTCGTTGGCAGGGAATGCAGGGCTGGCTTCAGTGTTGCGCCGGCTTCTTCTGTAAACTAATTTAGGTTTCAAACCGGTGACGGCTTTTGTAACGTCGTGTAAAAACACGCAGGCGTCTGCCCGCGTTAGAAATGCTGCGATAGAAACGCTTTAGAAATGGTAACACTTCCAACTTCCTTCCGCACCCCGTTTTCAGATCTCTCCGCACGCCGGGGAGCTCGTGGATGTTCGCAAAAATTATTGCTGTTATCTTACAAAAAAAGCCGCAAAACCAGACCTCTTTCTTGTAAAATTTTAAATGAGATTACGTGGAAACTGTTGCTCTGAGGCGTCTTAGTTATTTCGGTTTTCAGCAGCGGTTTTTCGGGCTCCCTGCTTTCCCGTGAGCGCAGCACCCAGAGCCTGCGCCGGGGCTGCTGCCGTGAAGAGTCACCCTGCCCGGTCCTAGGGCGTGACAAACACGGTCTGGGCTCAGGAGCCACCGCGCTGTGGCCGCACACACGTGCACACCCCGAGCAGATGCCGTGTTGCTGCCCCGAGGACTTCCCTGGGCCGTTGGGTGTTGCTGCATGTGCTTGGTGCGGAAATCTAATGGGGAACAAGTTAATTCTGAGTGAAATTTCTCCTTTCCACAGCTGAGATTTTGCCCCTTTTTAATTTTTTTTTTTTTGTTCTCTTTCCCACAGGCCCACGGTTTCATGCCGTGTAGATGTGAAGCCCCTAAACCAGAAAGTTCTACTTCGAGGGGTGCCCAAGGAGATGAGGTTGTTGGGTACGTGCATTTCTACGTACTGTGTCGTGCAAAGTTGTTCCAGTGCTAAATCCAGTTATAAACCCACGCAGCAAAACCGAAACTGTGTGCAAACCGGCCCTGTGTTTTAGTGGATGAGCAGATTTTTATCCTAACCAAATCTGTCTGTATCCTCGGGCAATTCCGACTTTTCCAGTAATCAGTGAAGACTTCCTAATTTCAGTGGGATTTTGATGGGGAGGCAAATGAGAAATTCTGCTGATAAACATAAAGCATAAAGACTCTTCTGCCTGTTTTTGTTACGGTCTTGACTCTGCAGTAGCAATAGAGATTGGTTTTTTTTGCCACTAAAACACACCCAGGTCCGACTGTGCCTTCATGCAAAAGGAAAATACCAAGAAAAAAAAAAGCACAAGGGAGCTTTTTTTATTTTAAGTTAAAGGAAATAACCTATTTAAGGACCATTTTCTATCCCTCACTCAATTTCATGTAGACTTAATGAGTTTCATTCTATGTTGGTCATAAATATCACAGTAAAAAAAGTCATGTGTTTGGGTTTCTTCTTTGGTTTCAAGATGGAACGCACACAGAGTATTTCACAAATAACTTTAGTCTAAACTGTACTACTGTTTAAGAAAACATTAGCTTTTAAAATCCTTTGAGCCAGGTTAATAGCAAACTAATCACAATAAACCACCTCCAATTTACCTTCTAAATGCCGTCAAATTAGAGCATTATAAAAGAGATTATTTAGAAACCTTTCCTCTTCTCTGCTAGAAATCTTTGACGTGGTTCATTGTCCTGGGTTTTTTCTAAGTCACAACAACACAGGGATTTCAGTGGGACTCCAGCACGTGGCTGAAATACTTTGCAACATCAAGGCTTTATTTTTTTAAATTTAGATCTTTATGTGCGTAATTTTTATTTAATTTTTTAAAATTTAAGTAGTGTTTGAGCGCAGTGAAGTGTTGTTAACTTGTTCTTACCCGTGTTGTCTAGCTGGGCCATCGCAGCAGCAGCTTCCAACACGTGGGAGGTGGGATCAGAGACACTGAGAAGGGGTGCTTGAGTGAGGACACCCAGATCAGGTACGATTGTAGCCAAGATGTGCTGCGCTTTGGGGAACACTGACTGAATTGCATTTTACTGTGGAACTGAATTAATTAAAGGATGGAGTTTTCTGACAGGCAGAGCTGACTGACCGTCCTTTCTGGAAAGTTGGGAGAAAACCTTGCAGTCATAACTCCCAGCTTTGCTCAAAAGGAGCTCTTTGCCATTGTTTTAAAAGGATTCTTTTGCCCTCCAATGGCCGAAATCCAGTTTACAAGATGCTTTTTATGTTTGAAAAGATAGAATCCACGGGATGAGCACAGAAATTCTGAAGTAGCCTTAGGGGTGGGAGGACAGGCAAAGTTGGTTCCTGAACCTTTAGGATTGTGGACCTTCAAAAAATGGGTTCTGTGCTCTGTGGCTGCATTCACCACTTCATCTGATAATAGTATTTTTCTTTCTGTCATCCATGGAGCACTGATCACCTGAAATACCATTCCTAAAATGTTGGCAGGTAAGTAGAAAATAAACGCACAGTCCCATGTCCCAGATTATAGAAGTAGTATGTGTTGATTTAAAAAAAAAACACAACAAAACACATTTAGCCTAATTTTTAGTTAGTTGTGGATGGAAAGCACTGTGGCAGTACTGCTTGGTGTTGCCTGGTGGGTTTTCTCAGAAGAGCAGGGCAATGTTTGGGCTATAAGAGATTCAAGTGATTCAAGGAGACTGCTCTGCATATTGCAGTCCAGAAGAAACCCCACAAACCAACAACAGTTTTTTGCTAAGAGTTCAACTTCTCTATCTGTGTGTGACACTAAATTTAAAAGCAGTGGGTGGAAAAGCAGCTCACACAGCAGCACCCTGGCTTTTACTGGCTCAAGCAGCATTTCTGTTTCTGATAATGTTAGTTTTTAGAGGGCCCGTGCTTCGGCACCGCGTGAGAGATGCTCTTGTTGGTTGCAGGACCCTCCCTGCTGGGGACGTCACCAATGGACTGTGGACACTTGGCTGAGAGCAGGCAGGACATCTCCGGCCCGGGTGCAGAGCCCGATTCCCTGCTGCCTGCTGCTGCCGGCAGCGATTCCTGCCCGCCCGTGGTGGCTGGGCCGCGGGCTGGGCCTGCTCCGGGCAGACCCGCGGCCGCCAACGCCGCCCGGGAGCGCAGCCGGGTGCAAACCCTGCGCCATGCCTTCCTGGAGCTGCAGAAGACTCTCCCATCTGTGCCGCCCGACACCAAGCTCTCCAAGCTGGACGTGCTCCTCCTGGCCACCACCTACATCGCGCACCTCACTCGCAGCCTCCAGGACGAGGAGGAGTCACCCGGAGAGGGCCTGGGCACCCTCCGAGGGGATGGATACCTGCACCCTGTCAAGGTAGGAGGGATGGGGAGCAGCCACCAGTTCCTCGTGCTGAGGAAGCAAATTGGGTGTTAAAGATACTTAGCTGAAACTAGAGATTTTGAGCTTATTTACCTTGTTGGAGTTCATACGTGAAAAGACTGCCCAGACTAACCATTGCTTCTAGGTGCTGGGGGCCTGGTGGGAATGTCCCAAGGCTTTGTCCCTCAGCTTCAGAGACTTGGCACAAAAGTATCAAATACAGCGCAGGTCCAAAGCTGGTGGGACTTGGTCCCTTGGAAGCGAAGGTGGAGAGCAGCACCAGAGCAGTACCAGCACCTCCTCGGTCCCCACCTGGAAACCTCACTGATCCCTCCCCAGACCCATCAGAGCTGTCTGTAGGGGATGTGTGGGGCTGATGCCTGTCCCACAGTGGCAACCCCAGCCACAGCTGGGTCTGCTTTGTTTCTCCTCCCGAGGCGTCCAGGGTATGGAAGGTGATGTTAATTACTGCCCACGTGTCAGGTCCTTCTGTGAAAGTGCTTTTCTGATGCATTTGCTTTGTCTAGTTGGTATATACTGTTGTTGCTCTTCCCTTTGTGAAAAGAAAAATCTCAGTGATGCAGAAGGGATGTGGAAGGGGAACTGCTCCTGGAGCGGACCTGGGGCTGGAAACTGGTTTCACAGGCATTGCTCACTGACTGACTGGACTCCCAAATACCACAGGGTATTTTCTTTGGCTCTGGTCTCAGGGAGTGAGTTAGAGCACTGGGGTGTTATTTTTATTCTTTTTTTAAAAAAGTCTGGTGAATTCAGAATGATTTAATTAAGATTAATTTGTGAAGTAATCTCCAAGCCCTGTAAAGTGACTAGTTCACAGAGAGTTTCTTGTTCGCAGTGTTGGTTGCTGTAAAAAGTGTTATATTAGCATAGGCTTCTGAGGCCATTAAAATTATTAGCAGGATCATTAAGAAAGCAAGACCTTTACATCAATTAGAAGATGGCTGTAATTTAAGAAAAAACCAATTTTTTATATGTTTCAAAATAAGTTTGAAGTAGCTCCTGTTAGTTCCCTTGGTCAGAGTGAAGGGACACAGGTCTCTTAAGGTACTTTTTATCAGCTGCCAACGATTACTGGCAGAAAAATACTTTTAAATAGTTAATGCAGCAGTTACGATCCAGATGCACATTTCCCAGGCTACTGGAATACAGCAATGCTGGATTCATCCAGCAATTATTTTTTTTATAATCTCATTTATGTACCATTTACCTGTATTTAGTTTTGTAAACATTGTATAAGTCTAAATGATCTTTTTCATATTCCTGGTAGTAAATGAACTTTTGTCACAGTCAAATCATAGTGCATGCTTTTAAAAAAACCCCAAAGTGTAGGATATGAGACAGTGAGCACAGATGAGGACTGCAACTACACTCATATAAAGCACAGCAAATACAAATAGTGAGGAATGTAAAATATCCAAGTACAGTTGTGTGCACACCAAACAAAAAATAGGGCTTATGACTTTTTAAACTCAGATGTCTGATTGGTGATGAATGGATAACATCACTCTTGAAATAACACTGAATGAGGCTGTACAGGCTTTCAAAGTGAGAACATGCTGCTGCTTTGTGTCTTTAAATAGAAGAGCTGAGATTTCACGGGAGTATTAAGCCCCCGCAGTCGTCGGAGGTCTCTGTGGTTACCCACGGGAAGGGTGCTACCCTGTTCCCAATTGTCTTTAGAATGTTGTATTCCTTTGGAACAACATTCTTAACTGTGTTTCGGGTACTTTTGCGTTTGATACGTGTGACGAGTTGTCTTTTCAGACATGCCCCTCTCTAACTGAACTCAGCTCATGGAGTGGGAGCAGAGTGCTTCCTCCCAAGAGGGGGCACCTGGCTCAGCCCCCCTGCACTGCAGGGCCCTGTGCGGCCACTTGCTGAAGTGAAAGTTAAGAACAGATACTGAACACCAGTGTAACTGATTATTCCTATAGTCAATGAGTGGAAAGATGAGTTGTCTCATCTGAAATCTTGGAAGCTGACAAAGAAGGAGAAAGTGTCAGTGCTGAAGACTGCTGGGAGCTGTTACATTCACCTCCCCCTGACCCCCAGTCCTTGGCAGCCCCAGTGGTTGGTGTTGTGGGGCTGGCCGGTAGGGATGAGCACGCATGTAGGCTGTGGTCTCTGCAGGTGTTGGTTGGTGTGTCCCCATGGTATCTCTGGCACCAAAAAGAGGCTTTGTTTTATTTTATGAGCAGAGCATCTGCTATAGGAATTGTGGTATGATGACTCGTCAGCATGACTTACTCCTGTCTGTTGCATCCAGGGGGTTTAGGAGCTGCACCTCACAATTAATTATGAAAAAAAACCACTCAGACTGAGCTTCCCTTACCCAGCTTGTAACATTTTTCCAACAAATACCAAAACGGGAACTTTCTGGTGATAGCAACAGTTCCCTGTTTCCTTGTGTTGCAATTCCATCAAGGTGTAAAGCTTTGCTGAGAAGTGTGCTCAGACTGTGCAGTTCCTGGGTATCTCAGCACTGTGCTTTGTCTCTTCTCTTGTAGAAGTGGCCAATGCGTTCCAGGTTATACATTGGAGCTACAGGACAGTTTTTGACTCACTCGGCACAAGGAGATGGCACAAACCAAGGAGAAACATCAACTTCACAAATCTGATCTCCCTTCTCACTTAAAAAAAGTTATTTATTACACCTTATATATATTTAAGTTAAAAAAATATATCTTCGGACAAGCTATAATTCCTGAAATACTGTTTGTAGAGGAGAAGGAATCAATTCTTAAACGTAATTAACACCTCATTAAGTTAATGTGAAGCATGATTGATTTCTATCATTGCTGGGGTCTGAATGGGGGGATTAAGAGGATTGCAGTCAGCACCAGCAGGACAGACAGCCACAGAGGCAGAGCTGCTGGCAGAACAAGCAACCTCATCCTGTCTGGGATGAGCAGTGAATAGGAATGCTGTGGGAAGTGGGGAGCAGGAGCGATGCTGTGCTGGCTGAGCACAGAGCAGCACAGGCTTCGGGGAGAAGCAAAGGGCAAGTCTGAAAATGGCAGCTGAGATCCCACACACACTCTCTTCCCTGCACGCAGCTCATGGCAGAAATCCCCCTGACTGCAGCTGTCAGGTCAGGGCTTCGTCCCTTGGATAATCTTAAATGTATGTAGCTGTCCCTGAAGATGTGGATGCATGTTCCCCACAAGTAGAAAAGTGCTGAAGTCTGTCCTACATGCACACAGTGCTACGTCCAGCAGACACCACCTGCTCCGTGTGTTACGTATTGCATGTAGTGTTCCATATGATTGTGTTGCATGTTACAGGGTTTAAAATGCATTTGTTACCCCAGTACAGCCACTTGTCTGCTCAAGGCACCAAGGTTTGTTTATCTGGTCTTTTAGTGGGTTCCTGCATTCAAGCAAACAAGCCCGGAAAGCTGGCTTGTTCACTGCCTGTTTTTCACTTAAACATCATCTATATTTAGGCAAGAAAAGCTGAAAGAAAATACACAAATACCATCTGATGTATCTGTTCTGTAAAACACTGTACTTCTCATCTAGTCTGTTATTGCTGAGGTAAACATTGCATTAAATATTATTCAGTGGACATTGTGTATTTATTGAGTTGCAAAATCTGCATCAGTTTCTTATTGGTAGCTGCTAATAGTAACATTCTGCATTCCTAGTAACTTGTTTCTGAAAACTTCTTCAGAGTTTACATTTTAAAGATACATTCGGCAGAAAAGGAAAACACGACTACTAGCAATTATAACCTTTATAAAAAAATGTAAGTTATTGAGTTCTTGAGTCAAACTTGGGACAACTTTCAGAGGTGCTGAGAATGTCACTGCAAACTGAGTGCCCAGGATCACAGAAAACCAGCCTCTGGTATAAGAAAGTATATAGAAATTAGCAGAGCCATTAGAAAGAGTGGAACAAACCATCTACAATATGTGAGAGCTGTAAAGTGTGGTAACATCTGGAACTCCCCTCTGCCCCTGCAGCGTTCTGAGCTTCTAAAAAAGATTATTCTTTGAAATAGTAAGAATACTTTCAATAGTTAATAGTTGTAATATATATATTAGGCATATCTTTCTTTTTTACATTGTAAATGGTTTATTATGAAAATTACATAGCCAGAGCACCATTCAACCACACAAACCACTGTATTTTGTGAAAAAAATACATGCAAAAGGGCAGTTTTGCACAAGCAGGTATCGACTCTGATGTAAGAGTCTGACTTTTTAAAGAACTGCACTTGCTTTCCATAGTAGTAAAAAGCAGGTTAGCAGGACCTCTTATTAGTGGGACAGCCATTTGTATTTGGAGTTATTAATAAGGAGATATAAAGGAGTTGTAAAGGTGATGACAGCCAAGTAAGATAGAGGAGTCACAGAGTGACAGAGCAGTGAGGGCTTCCAGGAGTACTTGCTGTACATAGTGAGGGCATAAGACACAGCTTACACTTCAGATTGGTAAAATGGCAAGTACCAGCATAGAAGCACAGAGAAGTCAGACAAGTTGTGTATGTAGCAGGTCTAAATGGATGGCATTAGGTCAGGGAAAAAAGGACAGGCCAAATCTCAGCCAGAAGTCAAGTGTCAAACCTGGAGCTGATGCGGCATAGCAGCGGTCTGGTAGTAAAAGCAAAATGCATATTAAACATGCACATGAAACTGTGGGAGGGGAGGAACACACAATGCAGTGATGTTCTGCATCAGTTGCATGCTCTTACCAGCACAGAGGTGCTGGTTACTTGATAGGCTCTTAAATAAACCTAGAAGGGACAGAATTCAAGAAATAAAAAAGAGGGGTGAGTGGGGAAATGCACCCTCCCATTTTTTAAAGGCTGCTTCCACTAAACATAATTGAAATATTCTGGCTGCTTATTCACAAAGTAAGTGTGAAAAATTGATAGGAATAAGAATTAAACCCATGGAAAGTTATTGGAGAAAGCATCTGTGCTCAGACTTCTACTACAACACAGGCAGAATCCTTGCTGTGTTCAGAAGACAGCTGGTGAAATGGGGCAGCAAACACCAGAGCTACGTAGTTCCCGTGTTGGTGTAAATGATGGACACACACATGACAATGCAAAAGCATTTTATACATGTATTAAAGGCCAGTAAGAACTGCATAATTGCAACAGCAGTTTTTTACTTGAGAATAACTCCCCATGTTTAGGAGTTGGGATTTTATTTTTTTGAGACACATTTTGTGCCTCTTCTCCCAAAGCCAAGACACCAGGTTAGACAACCCACTCCCTTTGACCAGTACAAGTTCTCATCCTCCAGAAATTTGCACCAGGATCAGAACAGATCCTCTGAACCTGTTTGCTTCAAACCCGATGTTTAGATTTAATGTTACATTTATTGGGAACAGTTCATACCCTTGGATACTGGTACATAACAGTTTGGCATTTGGCACTGGAAATAACACGTGTGCTTAGCAATAAAATTCTCACATATTCACACATTGCTATCCAAAGGGACTGCTGTTTTTCATGGAGTCACTTACAGACCTTAGCAAACATCAGTTGTTGTCAGCACAGGTTTCCCCTCAGAGGGACAGGACTGGTAAAACTGCACATGGCTACATGCAGATAACCTGTCTACACACAATCTGCTGCATACAGTTGCTTTTTTCCTCGTAAAAGCAGCTGTAACTACAGTGCCCTCCAGTCATAGGTTGTTTTCTTCCTAACATGTACCCTGCCAATCACTCATCTTTCCCTCAGAGGCCATTAGGACAAAGTATTCATTGTGCTTGTGCAAACTGAAAAATGACAACACCAAAAAGACCAACTTTCCGTGGCTTTTACTTCTAAAAGACTGACTATTCAGTGAGAACAGAAGCATTTTAAGGTTGAAAGTACTGGGATTTATCAAGAATGCTGATTGTAGAGAAGATGCACCAAAACCACAGTAACTGTGCTTCCACCCCGGGCAGTCTTGTTCACTTTCTTAACCCACTTGGAATTAACTCTTTCACTTGCTCCGTGAAGCCGCGACCACACGAACCCTCCTGCACAGACTCGCCCCATTGCGGCCAGTTCCTCACAGCTCCTCTGGGGCAGGGCAACAGGGCAGAGCAACAGGGCAGGGCAGGGCAGCGCAGGGCAGGCAGGACAGAGCAGGGCAGGGCAGGGCAGGCAGGGCAGGACAGGACAGGGCAGGACAGAGCAGGACAGGGCACGGCAGGGCAG